AGGAATCTGCCTCCCTCACCCGGCGAGGGCAGAGGGGTCACTGGTTTTTGTGGCAGTGAAACGTGGCTGCCCAGCAGCCCAGCTCAGGAAGGGGCCAGCTGCCCTGCAAAGCTGCCAAGGACGCTCGCTGAGATGACACCCACATCTGAGACCCGGGGTTCACCACTTGGGGAGAGCCGGGCTAATTCGGGAGTTTTAAGAGGAGACAGAACTTGGGGACCGTGTGACCTCCGTGCCCCTGGAGGGAGCTCTCGGAGCAGCCCAGCTCCCAGCGGGTGGTGCCCAGAAGCTTCCCCGCAGGCTGTGCGTGTTTCTCAGGACAGGGCTCGGCTAGTCCTGGGGAGACTGCAAGGGGCGCGGGGTGACCCCACACGGGAGGGGCCTGCAGGCTCGCTGCTCTAGAAGCTGCGGGGCTCCTACACCCGCCCTGGGGCCCCCAGTCCCGCTCCTGCTCCAAGGCCAGGCCAAGCTCCGGTGTCCGGCCTGGGGGCTCGCCCTCCCGCCTTCCCGCAAACCCACAGGCAACGTCCAGAGGCGTCTGAGGTTCGGGTGACATTTTATTGGTGAGAATTCTCTAAAAAACGAGGCCCCGGAGGCAGCACGTCCCGCAGCCCACGCGGCCGCCGCGTTTCTGGGGGCGAGGCCAGGCCCCGCGCACCCTGCGCGCCGCACTAACACCTGGCGAGACCGGTGGGCCTCCCGCCGGTTCCCCGGCCCGTCCTACCCCCGTCCCCCGTGTGCGCGACTCGGGCCAGGCCCCGCGGGCTCGGGTGTTCAGGCGGCTCCCGGGTCCGGCCTAGGGGCCTCCCTTCAGGGTCTGCTGGGCCTGGAAGATGAAGGACGTAGTCTGAACGCGCTGTTTCCAAGGCAGATGTGGCTCCAGAGGAAAACCGCCAGAAAACGCATCTCCCTGCGAGCGCCTTAAAGGAGGGCCCCCCATCTCCCTGCGAGCGCCTTAGAGGAGGGCCTCCCATCTCCCTGCGAGCGCCTTAGAGGAGGGGCCCCCGCTATGGCGCAGCGGGGCTGGGACGCGGGGTGTGGGGCTCTGGGTGGGCAGCCCCCCCGCACCCCTCACCCTGACGACGGCACCAGGGGGTTCACCAGGCACTTTCCACACCCCGGCACCCCCTCGCCAGGGGCTGGGGCCCCCCATGCTCCCCA